CTGGAGAGTTTAGCTTCCAACAGGATAGTACTAGATACACTAAAATAGATGAAATTCTGCAGGAAGAAAGATAAATATGCAAAGGACTATATGAATTCAGAGGGACAAAAGATTCCTTCCAACTGGCTTAAGTGCAAAGTATGAGGAGAAATTTGCCCAGAGAGAATGCAGTGGGAGATTATTCAGGCAGAGAAAATAGCATGAGTAAATGTTTAGGCAGAAAAGTGCAGAGCAGATTTGAAAAGAGTGGCCCAGGCCCCTAGGAGTTGTTCCCTTGGGAGCTGAGCCTGAGCAGTAAATTGGTCTTAATTAATGGAGTCTCAAACCTCATATTAAAAAGGACAAGGAGCAAGGCATGGTAGTGCATGCCTGTAATTCTAGCACTCTGGAAGGTTAAGGCAGGAAGATCATAAGTTCAAGTCCAGCCTAGCCAACTTATCCTGACCCTATCTCATGAAAACAGGGTGGGAATGTAGCACATTGTAAAGGCCTTTGGTTCAATCCCCAGTATAAAAAAAAAAAAAAAAAAAAAAAGTAAATCAGGTGGGGATCATGTAAGAAGTATTTGGACTGTTGAACTTCTGAGCAGAGGACTGAGTGAGGAGATGGCAGTCACCACAGCAGATTCATTCTAACAGTGGAATGCATGAATTGGAGATGGTGTGAGTGGAGGCAGCTAGCACAGCTGAAGACTGATGTGGGCACACTGATCAGACAGACATGACAGTGTAGTCAGTGGATTTGGTTAAAGAGAAAAGGGGATAAGCAAAGATGACTTGTGGTTTGTACCTGATTCATAAAAAGAATAACATCCTTAACAAGGAGAGCCAGGAGGAAGAGAAACCAGAGATCAGATAATAGGAATGTTTTAATGTGTTGACTGGGATGACAGTGCTACTGATTATTGAGCATTTATGATTGCCTAACGCTGTTCTATGTGTTTTCCTGCGTGATCTCATTCATTCTTCCAGGCAGAGCTTCCCCACAACCTGCCCAGGTTTACACTGCCCGTCAAGATGCCGTCAGAGTCCCGTCCCCAAGGGCAGAATTCCAGAGCTGAATTTATTGAGTGTTTGTTCTGAACGCTGTTGGGCTTGGAGGCAAGAGTAAAAGAAAAGGAGAGTCAAATAAAGTAAAAGAATGATGATCAGGAAGTTTGGAGAATTCCCAGGAAAGATCACAGAGAACCAAAGATTTTCAGAAAACTAAAGGCAGCTGTTTCAGAAACATTAAGAGTAGCAGAGGATCTAAGCAAAGACATTTAGAGTTAGGGGCCGGGGGCTGGGGATTTAGCTCAGCGGC